CAGAAACTAGTTGGGGGGTGTTGGAATGTGATCAGCGGAATGCATCAACTTGTGTCGAACATTACCACCAGTGATGTGTGACACAGCACACACTCAGTCAATCTAATCGCGAGTACCTATGAGGTAAAAGTGCAATTGTGCATTGTCTATTTTCCATCTTGTTGTCAATATCAGTCACAGTTTTGGCCACTCGTTCGGGGATCGGATGGAATTAAATGAGCACTCAACTCCCCCATCTCGTTGCAAGAGAAATGGAAATTGTATAGTTTGCCATGTATCTGCAATGCGTTTTCAAACTCAAATCACTAATGGTTCAAATTTTGACTAACACCTGCCTTGCCAACAGAGAAGTGTGGAGAACATCATGATTAAGCAGTCAAATGTCGAAAATATTTCAACCAAATTTTTAGAAAAATTGTGCTAAGCTTTCACCAAGTGAAAGAGAAATGCGATGACAGATTTAACCAAGAGAGGTCAAAGGCAATTACTGCACAATTACGAACGTACGCTCCACCGATGTGTGATGTTGATCGTAGAGAACATTCGTGGTTCAAGTGACATATCGCGATCACATTTGGCATTCTGCGGACACAAACAATGTAAGAACGTCCTGTCAAAATGCAAGTTGATGAGGTGTCGTGCATGGAATAATTTACAAGTACCACACATTGTGAATTCATTGTGGAATTCACGTAAGCACAATTGTTGAATCAGTTTTGAAAAGAAACGGTAAATTCGCGGTGTCTGAATCACTCTCATATTCACGATGGCTGATTCGCGATCGTGACAACGCTACAGACCACATTAAGGAAAGAGACGTTTCATTAGATTGTTGAGATCATGAATAAAAAATGAATGCGCACTTCAATGCCTGATGTTCCAACCGTTTGACGAAGTGTAGGGGTACATTTCTGAGGAAATTTCAAGTCCACTAAGGTATGCTGTGTGTTTGTCACGACATTTTGCGGACCTGTGGGTTGGGTGGAATACAAAAAATCCAGTATCCAGTGTCAACAGAAGACATGTGATGCGTTGCTCGTGCATCTGATAGTTGGTACACCAACTTGACGACATGCTTAATGATTGACACCATAATGAGTTTGCGTGTAATCATCCCAACCTCGCATTAGACGGAGGCTTGGCATGGCTTGGAATGGCTTGGCATGGACTGGCAAACTCACGACAGCATCGACGCAACGCCTTCTAAAATCAATGTCGGGTTTGCGGCTATAGTTGAAACTGTAGCGGATTGGCATCGATCGCGCCTGAGTGAGCCCAGTTCACTGACCTGACAATGTCAACGACTCATCTTCTTCCTGTAATCAGACGCCGGTCATTTGCTTACTCATTCACACACTAAAACACACCTTGCTGGCCTAACGCTAAAAACCGGTTGTGTCCTCTGTCGCCTCTCTTCACTCCATAATCGGGTTGTTACTGGCTGCTATCTAGAGGGTTGTAAATTAGTGCTAACTGAGCCACTACATTTGGTGACTTCAAGAAACCAGCCCATTTATTCTTCACTCCATTGGCTGGTGATTTCCGTCGAATTTTTCACAACCCTTTTCTTTGTCTGCAATGCCTGACCCTTCGTCTGTAGTCTATCCATGGAAAACAGCATTTCCGTCAGCTTTCCTTTTTGCAGCTCCAACGCCGGAGTGTGGTTTATGCTTATTGAGGCTCAATTACTAAACCTAAGTGTTGCTTCTCAGCCTTCGAAATACACACACGTCGATCCTTTGCTATTTATTTGGTTTCAGCGGAACCAAAGTATTTTCATTGCCATTTCCAAGAACATGTAGCTACTGCTGCGGCTTTAATCTCAACTACACGATTTTGACAGCAAGGCGTCCTCACTCAAGTCCTGTCATCGATCACTCTATTGCCATTCGTTTATTTTTTTTCGAAGATTCGCACTTGTGCTCTACTTTGCACCGCAACCAAAACGATTACTATGCTAAGCTTCTCGCGGTGACAGCTAATGTTTTCTCATATCCGCTGTCGATTCAGCATTATCAGAACAACTAAGGAAAGCCAAAGACATTTGTGCATTTACAGCTAACCACCGAAATGTGTGATCCGTCTCATTGGCCTTATTCACTCTACGATATTTCCGTTTGATATTACACAGAGACACGAACACTGCATTTAATAAACGAGGCAATGTATTCGCCCATTTCTTCTACGCACAGCCTACTACATTAGTTACGGTTACTTTAATGTTATTTGCTTTATATACGTGCATCAAAATGACAGAAGCACGCTAGTCCCAGCACCTAACAACTTCCTTCTGACAATTTCGTGCTTTAAGACCATAGCACAAGGCACAAATTTGTTACACAACCAGTTATCGCGAACCCTGTAGCGGCCCCTTAATCCAACATCCTAATAACATCGTTCACACAGCGTCTACTGTCAACTTAAATTCTATACGCACATTTCAACGTTCTAAACCGTACCGATACCAACAACATTTCTTCACATGCAAGAAAATTGAAAATAGTGTCATGAAATAGTCTATTCATTTACCTTCAAAGATTAACAAAAATCACAGGCACAAAGCAAAATCACCCTCAGGTAATTACTGAGTCGATGATAATTTCTTGCGGTTGGAGCATTGCCAATCACCTAGAAGGGACTCATTGGATCAGTCAGTGGTGATACGCGGTGGCTGTTTACAGTTAGTGTAGAACCCTCAGCATACGGAGCTTCGTCCACCCGTATGACCCACACAACACCATCATGCCTTACCTGTACAACAGATTGGATGAATTCACATGCATGCTCGTTACCTTGAGGAAGTGAATCTTCCCATTCACAACCTGTGAAAACATGGCGAGTATTTCCACTTGTTCGGGTTCTTTACGAAGCTGTTGCGTCAAGTATTGTTTAATGATGGGCGTGAATCGCTCCTTCTCCTCAGCAGATGGAGGCGCATACTCAGAAACACCACCCAGAGCAGACATTGACAATTCTGGCAACTGCAGCAACAATCGTAAGAGCGCGGCTTACTTGAGGTTATTTATACCACTAAAACAAGTTCATGGTGGAATTTAATGCCACAATGCAGCAAAACACAGTGATAGGCACTACTTCAAAGCGCACTTGTATGGGTAAATAGGTGAATATATTTTGCAGAATGACATCTTCTTATTTGCAGAACGACACGTACATGCATGACGTTACTTTACCTTCTGTAGTAGGCACCTTATTTGTTGTGCTCTCCAACTGCGAACTAAGAAAACGTGCCGCATCTCTTGGCCTTTTGGTATATACTGCACTTGTTTTACTTACAGTTAACGTCTTCTGAAACTCTTTGCTTGCTGAATAAGCAGCATAAATAGGTAAATATCTAGTGTTGCCTAAATGGTGTATTTACGAACGTGACTGCTCTAATAGTAAAATAAGAATTTAAACTAAATTTAAAATCTTTTCTGACTGAATGTTGCAACACCTTTTAATATTTTGCAATAAACTGATATGCTTTTGCCAGAGATATAAGATGCTTAATTGAAATGAGCCTAGGTTCATAAGTCATGGCTTACTGCAGCCACCTGTTAAAAGATGTTTGCCGCACAATGCTTGTTCTTATCAAATAAAAATTTTAAAATATGCTAATGATGATCAAATGCGTTGGGTCGATACCGTCTTTTGTATCCGATTTTATTTTTGCTGATAATAAATTTACGGCTAATGCTGCCAAATTCATTATAATGGTTCTGTCATGCGCATTTACTGAACTACATTTCAGCCTATGCTAATGTAGAATGTGGCTATTTTACGTAGATAAAACCCATGTCGATCAAGTGTGTGTGATTGCATGGTAATATTTTTGAATCCATATATGAGATGGGGCCTTCACTAATCTGAGCCTCAATATACGTAATAAATGCAGCTTTGGGCTAAAAGGTCATGGCACGCCGTGCTTTCTACCTCTGCTGACGTGATGTTTCAGTCAGATAACCTCGAAGTCGCACCATCTCCGTTACAGACTAAGCATTGTTGCTTTTGTAAGTGTTTAACGGATTTGTGAGTTAAACTTCGCCTCTGCGTTGAGTCAGCCAGAGCACAACTTACCTAAACTCTCAAATGCTAGAAAGACGATTAGGACATGATGCAAGAATTTTTTAGTCAAGAAACTGAAAATTGATGGCTTCAAGTGCATTGGTAGATAAGGGCGAATGGTTTCGCAGCTTCGGAACTATCATTCGTCATTAGATTTCTCTCTGAGCAAGGATAAGTGTGTTGTTTGCAATCTGGCAGTCTTGACTAATTAAGCGTTCTCCATCTGCTTCATCAGATATTGGCAAATGCTATCGACCTAATTGCTATGCTGCGATGAGCAACTGAAAAAAGTTAAGCCACCCAGTAGAAAACATTGTCGAGATACCTACTATTCCAATCGATAATTTGAGAAGATCTGGCTGCTTTCACTTCTGGTGGGAAGTGAAGCGACGTGCAAGAAATTCGCCAATTTGGCGCTCAGGAAATGGCACTGAGGGTCAGTGTGTAAGCGTCGACACGTGAAATGTTGTGCACTCATCGATTGAATTTTCAGGAGGAGAATGAAAGTAGGGCCCACTTTGAAAAGCTAAATATTATTCTGTGTGTTTTATCGTATGTAGAAGCAGTAGGTGAGTCTGCTAGTGACGCTAATAACTAGGTTGGTGTTTGTATAAGACACAGACCTATTATCCTGGTCTTCGACTGCCTGTGTCCATGCAAAAAGGATATATTTTTAGACACAGTCTCGGAACGTAGAAACACCCGCTAACAAGCTAATTTGCAGTGCAGCGTTACAGTATCATGGCAAGCAGTTTACTTGTTGTCCGCACCTGCCACTAACAGCAGGGCATGGGAAATTTCGTCACACACTGTAATTTCGTTGTGAGTTGCCAAGTTAATGAGTGGATAATTATTAAGAAACTGCATTCTCAGATGTAAATGTGTTTTGAATTTTTGTAAAGTAAAATTATTTTTCCTTCCTGCATGCAAACCGTTTGAATTGGACAGCCTTAGGCTGAGTTATGTTTTAAAAACAACTTAAGTTCCGAGTTCAGTGGTCTGCTTGGTCGATAGGCAACGAAAAGCGAACATGTCAATTCCCTCATTTTCTTATATTGAGTGGGCTAACAATGGCTGACCTAGCATTGTAAACAATTATTTTAAGGATTAGGTAGATTTCACGTTTAGAATTAATGCGCACCGACATACAAGTTCCTACTGCAATGTCACCTGAGTGCAGCTGCATATCTGTGTAGATTACAGCTGAGTCTGCTTTAATGTAGCGTAATTGAACATATCGGATGACCAACTTGTAACGTGCAATTTACTATCTCGCCGTCATTTATATTTTGACTAAGAGTTATTAATAGTTAAGTTTCTTGGACAATACAGGCACACTTTACTGGCATGGAAGTTAAAAAACTTGAGTCAAATCCTCAACTGGGAACATTGCATATTACATTACATAAACAACAAAAATACCGTAAAGATGTGAAAAATGCATTTAATATAACACCGGCGTTCAAAAAAATTTAAGAGTAGAGATCACAATATTGCTTAAAAAAGTTTTCAGGTGACTGACAATTAACTATAGCTAAAGATTTAAAAGTCAACTGAGAAGGATTCAGCTGTCAATTAAAGGTCAGATATTCGTGGCCAACCACAGTTAGTTCAACACCATCAGCCTTAGGATCCTCACGAAGCGTAATTTGCGAATAGCCTTCGTCGTGCAGCACCTGTGCAACCAAATAAACTATAATATATACGTTACCTCTAGGAAATACATTTTCACATTTGTAATCTGGGATCTTATGCGGCGTATTTCCACGATATTAGATTCTTTACCAAGTTTTTCGGTTATATACTTTGTCACGACAGGTGTAAATCGCTCCTTCTCCTCAGCAGACGGAGGAGAATAAGCGGAGGCACCAACCACAGCCGGCATAGTCGACAGCAAAAACTGCAGCAGCAATCGTATTAGCGGGACTTACTAAAGGTTATATATACTACTAAAACAACGTCGTGTCCCAACTCAGTAACATTAAGCACCAATTCACAGAACAGAAAAGTATGTCACTAAACAAGCTGCAAATTGAATAAATTTATGTAGCGAGCAGAAAATCAAACCGTCTTTCGATTGTAGGATGCCAGAGTTTTTTTGGATGACATTCTAAAAGCGCGTTATTCTGGGTCAAATTGAGACATCTCTGCAACAATGTGCATTTTGTAGGTTAACGTGACTAATTTAGTTTTTTTAACTTATCGTAACAAAGCGGACTGGTAGCACTTTCTAAAGACTGTTCCATTTGCAGTTTTACAACAGTACGATTTATTCTTTTGTCAGAGATTTAAATGCATAGAAACACAGGCAGAACTATTGGTCTCTCTTCCCTACACACATCATTAGAATAACATATGCATTGTTATAATAATTTCAAAGTTACTAACCTGAGAGTAACAAGTGAATGCACATAAAACCACATTGCATATGCTATTTCATAAGTGGTCTGTTATTTCTGTTATTAGCAATCCAGATGCATGTGGTTAAACAAAATTATGAGCTGTAAAATTATTAGTTTGGAATTCCAACCCATCTGGTGCCGTTGAACGACATTAATTCGGTGACGATTTCAAATGCTAAAAAATTAAAATGACCGAGCACGAAGAAGATAAAACATTTTTTTTGTTTCGGTTAACCCATAAGTGTGCAGGTGTGTTTTTTCGGGTGCTCACAAAGTAATTCATGTCCATACCTTCTGCTATACACAGGAATGTCTTTAAACATTCACGAAATACTCTAGCGCGCCTGTCTTCATGCTCATCAACCAATGATGTTAATGAAATATGCTAAATGTTGCTAGAAGCCTTTCGACTTTATCTACGAAAGCATTAAAACCCGTCAGGAGTAAATTATACTTCCTTAAGGATGTGTATTGCTTAAGTTGGCGATTTTGGATTAGTTGTTTTCTGGTACATTAGAAGAAGCACGAGCACTGGTGTTTCATTCAAGGTTGAAAGACATCAGCACTTGGGTTTCAAAGGCGATGAAAAATTTGCAAATTTTTAAACTAAATGCATGGATTTATTTGTAAATTGCAGGTATGATTGATCGTTAGAGAGAAAAGGGACGTAAAACGGCTATGAGTAGTGCATTCTAAAATGCCCAACTAAACAAAAGCTGTGTGTTTCTCAACGAGGAAATTAGTTAACCTAAATAAAAATGAAACCTTGGTCATTTGAAATCACATCGATCAGCAGAATTAAAGCGGTAAGAGCAGCTACTTACGTGCATTTTAAGGTTGCACCCAATTTGATTAAGCATATAATAGCTCTGGCAAAATCAGACCAGTTATATATATATATATATAACATTATAAGCTGTAGTTATATTCTGTTTAAAAGATACAGATAATTCGGTCTAAATTCGATTATATCTGGTAGAGCTGCCATGTTCGTAAATACCCCATTAACATAAAACTAGAATTTAAGAATTGCATGATGCATATTCCACAAACAAGAAAGTTTTGCAAGATGTTAACGGTGACTAAAACAAGTGCAATATGTGGAAGAAGGTCTTAGAAATGCGACACTTTTTACTGGACCTCAGTCTAAAAAGAAAAACACAAAAGGGGCCTGCACCTCAGGGTAATCTAACATTATGAATGTGCATGTTGTTCTGCAAATAAGAAGATGTCATTCTGCAAAATATATTCACCTATTTACCCATACAAGTGCGCTTTGAAGTAGTGCCTA